GTGCACACGGCATTACAACAGCACACGGCATTATCGATGCACACGCCATTATCGGTGCACACGGCATTACAACAGCACACGGCATTATCGATGCACACGCCATTATCAATGTACACGCCATTATCGATGCACACGGCATTACCACAGCACACGCCATTATCAATGCACACACCATTATCGATGCACACGGCATTACTACACTTCTTTCCAACTGCACTCATATGTTTTACCAAATTATATGATCCAAGGTGCACAATAATTATACAGGTTTTATGACCAGCTGATTCTGCCTTTTGTTTTGTGCTCCTTTTATGCTACTTTTAGATGCTAACTAGACTCATATTTAGATACATCCTTCCACTGTCAGAAAAAAAGTACCAATTTGTACCTTTGAGGGTACTGTTGCTTGTCACTGGGGCTGTACCCTCAAGGATCTGCCAGTTGTTCCTTAGCTGTAGGTAAACGTACCTTTGAAGGTACAGAAATAGACTCTGAGGAAGATTCACCATTGGGGTACATTAGTGTTGTTTGTACCTGTACCAGGGCTGAACTGTTTTTTTTACAGTGTTTTGAGTCACTTCACACTAGCCTTTTAGCGCTGAAAAACTATAAAACAATCAAATGAAATGTTTCAGGGTGGCTGAAATGTATCACTATTGAAGTTTTTTTGCCCAGGTGCTGAAGGTGCTGGTGAAAGCTCCCACATAATGCTTCCGTGCAAGTAACTTAACGCCGAAACCTGTACCACTGCCCAGGCCACAAAGCCTGTCCATCGCAGGGGTCACACATAGTCACCTGACCGCATGGCTTTGTACTGAGGGAGAAATGTAGAGCAGTCAGAGGAAACCCGTACACACACAGGTGGGATAAAACAGAAATGGAGCAGCGATACTTTCCTGAGGGGATATTCTCTTTTCTCCTGCCCCATCTTGCTCTCCATGAGACACACAGACACATATACAGGTGAGAAAGCAAGCTTAGGGGTCACAGCACAGGGTCAGCCAGTGTGCAGGACCCCTGGAGCTGAGGCTTAAGAGCCTCACTCACATCTTAATTAAAGAACATTGTTGTTCTCACGAGCGAGAACAATTGCTATCTCTAAACATCAATTCTGCACTACGGGAGAGATGAAATTCAAGGCGATATTATACTGAATATATTATTTATTTGTTTGCCCTAGAGATATTGAACACCTGGGTGTTAATGTAGCAGTCGGTGTTGAGCGTTCTGACAGGTGACTGAGATCGGCGTTCGGTAGGAGACAAAGCAGCACCTGCTCTTTTGGGTGATGCTGAATGAGCACAGGCAGCACAGGAGGGCCGACCCATAGTCACCAGGCCCGGCTTTGTCCCCTCGCTCTGGAGGACGATTTCCCTCGCATGACCACACCCCAACGCAGACTGAAGCTAACCCTGCTGGATCAGCCCCCTTTATCTAGCCTGCTGACATTTCCCCTCTGGATGCATTCAGAGATTTACACTGACCGCCCCATCTCACGTGTGACCTGTCCTGCCAGATGCAAAGTGACCGCCTCCCGCAGGGAAATGACGAGCCCAGGGGTCACCTGGTTAACGCCCAGCGTGATGGTGACGCCTTACAAACACCAGGTGGGAATTACTCGCATGGCAGCGATTCTCGGCTGCAGATATCTCCAAAAAAAGCAGGAACAAAGGTAGCGACATGCAAATCAGACAGGCCACCAGCTAAAGCCTTTGAATATACCAATACTGTCAGGGCCGCACACATGCACGTAAGATATATGCAGTGTAAAAAACGGGCAGATGTCATTTTCTTTGCTGGGTGGACTACCCATAAGAAATCTCGACCTTCTGACAAACGTAATATTACCATGACAACAATGCACATCTGGGGCTGTAATCGAAAAGGCATTCAGAGTAAACTTAGGAATGTTGCGTAATCGCCCTTTCATGCAAACGCACACACCCTTCTGAAAGTCTGTCTGCTGCCTTCCCTGCTCCTCTGAGCTCGTGCTCCTTTTGGCATGCTCGATCCACAGAAGTCTAATTAATACGGCAGGAATCACTGCAAAAGAGCACAGCTCGCAAAGTTAATACCCCCCAGCAACTCATACTGTAGCATTAATATCTATAGAAAGCCAGTCTAGATGCACAGTGGCAAAAACTCTGACAGCATTGTATAAGAAAACTGTATAACTGGTCCAAAAATGCCAACAAGCCTTCAGGCAAGAAGAGTATTTTTTTTTTTGCAGTGACTGCCTTCGTTATACTGAGATGGGAAGTCAATCTAAGTGTGAACCGTATTCCTTTGTTTGGGAGAAGAGAAGGTGATACTTGCAGCTATACTCCTATGGATGTAAAAATAAAATGAACTAACAATGAAAGTTAAGGCTACCAGGATTGCTGCTTTAAACACACGTGGGAGGTGATCCCAGACAATCTGCACAAAGATCTTGCTCACACCAGAGAATATCAGTGCTATGCACAAAGATCTTGCTTACACCAGAGAATATCAGTGTTGCAGGCAAACGTGAGGACCACGTGACACAAGGACTTGAGAGGAGCAACAATATTTATGGTGTTTTCCCTTTTGGGTTGGGTGAGGTGTGCTTGGACTGAAGAAAACAGGAGTGATCTGTCAGACATGAAGGCTGAGGTTCAACAATCACGCAGATAGGGATTACAGGTCTTGCCGCTACCATCTGGGCTACTTAATGAGAAACTAAATGTAACACTAATTTACACACGTCACAAAGAACAATAGATGGGTGGGACCAATCGCTACAAATCACCCTGGTCACATGACTCTTTATATGTCCCACCCCCGCAGAGGGTTTAAGGCGATTGCCAAAGGTCAGTTTGCACGGGCTTGGAACACACACATATGCAGGAAGACGGACAAGCACACAACTCTCCTCCATGACACACACACGGATCAGCCGTTCACGGTCATTTACTTATGGGGCGGCTTTGCTGAAGTCGACCAATTTTTTGTAAATACACTACGGGATGTAAATGTGTGGGTGTGTGGGACTTGAATGGTTATAAATCAACATGAAGAAGAAACAGGTAGTTTAAAAACATTGCCGCTGAATGGTGTTCCCAGAAAGTAACGTATTAAGGCAGTAAAGGTTATAGGTAGATATGGCAAAGCAGCAGTTCACCCATCCATCTTCCACACATTTGGTCGGGTCATTGAGAGGCCAAGATCCTGTTCCGGACAGCACATGGCACGAAGCTGGGGTACTTCCTGGATGGGCACACATACACATACATTCCTGCGCACGGTCATATAGAGACGCAAATTAGCCTATCTGCAGAACTTTGGATTGCGGGAGGAAACGCATGTAACACGGGGGGAAATGTAATCTACACACCACACAGAAACTAGAGGAGTTCAATCCCCTGACCTCGGAGGTGTGAGGCAACAGTGCTGCCGACGCAATCATTCTGCGGATGGTTATTTTATAACCATCCATTTGCTCGTCCATCGATCAACCATTTATCAAGTCCCATGTGGGGTGACCCTGAAGCCTATCCCAGCAGGCACTAGGCACACACACACGCGCACACACACAAACATTCTAACGACATTGTTCATTGAATTACATCTCAGTCCATAGCTTACAATGAAGAAATCCAAATTCAATAACAAGTGGGAAAAAAACACAGTTGTAGGTCCAAATGCTAACATCAGATGTGTTCTAAATATATATGTACAGTTTGTTAAACTTCATGTGTGAAGGTATCTACTCTTTTCAGGTAAACTAAGGAGTAAAATGAAGGTCACACACTGGACAAGATGCCAGCAGAAATCTCTCATAGACATCAAACTGATACAGTGCACATCAAGGCATCTTCAAATGAACTGCGTGTTTTGCCGAACAAGCTGATTCACAACATAAGACAGTGAACGGTGAATTAACTGTGTCACATAAACATGACACAGCATGCCACCACGGACAACATGGGAGAAAAAAGCTTATGTGTGTTGCATTTCCTTCCTGAAACCTCACCTGATGATTAGTGAATACACAATTTAGAATTGTTCAAAACAGCAAATTAACAAGTTACAATATTAGGAAGATGCATAGATACCTACAGAGTTTTAGTCACCAGCATCACTCTGATACTGAAGGACTTTGACATTTATGTCCTTTCTACAAAACTGTATCTTCTGCATGGGGTCTGTTTCTTTAGGTATTAATCCTAACGTTCCGAAGACTATGAGCGGTTTCATGATGGGATGGGATGGGCAAGAACTGTTGGTATACATACCATTTATATTTATTTATTATGTGCTCTGTAACACTTTGTAGTATTGCATCTATCTAACCATCCATCCATCCATGAAAAGCAACATCAGAGTTCAGCTCATCACAGCAGTATCTTCAGGCAGTGGGTTGGCCTACATTCCTTGCTCATCCAGTCTAGAGTTGAGGGCCATATCAGCTGCCATAATTCATGTTCTAAGTGACAGCTTGTGGTTCCTGGTGTTTCCCAGCATCCAGCTGTCCTGCTTGCTCAGCACAGGAAACTAGCCACTTCCACACTGCTTTGCACGCTGAAGAAAGTATGCAAAGGATGGTCAAGCCTCCTCTGGAGCAATAAATAAAGAAGGTCTCAGGTCAACGGCATGACAGCTCAGCACCGACGCCAGCCGCAGCCCTGAGTGAAATCACGCCTCAGGGCATCTTTGCTAAATCTTAGCATGGACCATGGTGTCATATCAGGAAATCCTTGGAGTATGACCCTGCTAATTCAGCACCACGACCCACCAGCACACGTGAGCTGTGGACTGTGACCCCCAGAGATGGAGAATGAGATGCACTCTCTGTTACTGCCTTCCAGTCTCATGTGATGGGCTTTTGGTTTGGATGAGTTGCATTCCACACACCTGCCCAGCCTCTCAGCCATGAAATGACTTTCTCACAGACTTGTGAGTTCATTAAACACCAATGTTGTGTCCCCAGTTCTGGTAGCGGACCTCCGTCATAGTACAGATATATATCACAGTTCTCAATGAGTTCATTGCAAAGATCTGTGCTTGACGACCTGCCAATTTCTCCATCTCCTTTATGGGTCTCACTGTGGCCCACTCAACAACTGCTGCAGAGCTGAATATTTTAGTTTGACAGGTAAGCTGGAGGTAGACCTTGAGTGGCTTATATACCGATACTGAGAACCCACCGAAAGGCTGTGAGACTTTCCTCCATAAGATGTTAGAATAATGGGCAGAGCTAGTAAAGATTCGCCAAGACTGCAGCCTGAGCTGCCTCAGCTAAATCCTTCGACTTCTCAGTATCATGTAAGTTTACCTTGGTCTTGGGCAAGACATGTTACTTATTACTTGACACCCACATAAAACGGGAAGATTAAACACATAAGTCACCTATACCAGGGATCATCCAGGTCATTAAAACAAGAATTAAATAGATGCTGTGATGACAAAAAATGAAAAGCCTCAGTTCCAGAATGGCTCATGATTCATATTCATTGGCTATTTGATTTCAGGGCTTGAGACGTTCAACCTAATCTCTAGTTAAGAAAATGTGAGTACGGTAGATGAGGCACATGAGGAAAGAATTGCAACCCCACCCTCCATAAACTTCAGTTGTGCTTGTGATAATTGGATTAGAAGTGACATATTTTGGGTTTCCTTCTTTTTTTTGGGGGGGGGGCAGGATGCATAATGTTGACATCGGGCATGCTGTATCACGGTCATTTGCTATGGGGAAATGAAAGGGAAAATGGTGAAGCGCCTGCTCTTGTGGATGTCGCAATGCGAGTTACACTTTAACAGCAGAAGACAGTCGCAGTTAAGCTGGGAACCTGTTATAAAATGTGAGTCTGTGTGGACACCTCCGCGTAAGAGCCAGAGCTTCAGGGAAAAGAAGAAGACCTCCCCCACAGCATGGCCACTGGAAACCAATATCCATGCTTCCGCATCCGTTAGAAATTGTGTTTGTCTCTGATTTTCTGTAAAGATATCAGTCCAGGATGAAGGGGCAGGGGAGGAAGGATGAAGGGGTTAGATTTGTGTGTCACGCCTGACCACTGTGCTATGACCACAGCTGCATGTGGTGCTTAGGATACCAAGGGTTACGGTTCGCATGAAACTAGCCAATCAAATGTATGACTTTAGCAAAGTAATTAACATCATTTTACGCGGGATGTAGAAGCTTGGCAAGCAAATAAAAAGGCTACAGATTTTACTTCATATATAACTCTAAAATGCTACTCAAACTACTCAAATCATTTTCAGCTGGATCCCAAAGAAACTGTGAAGTCCTGATATTGCTTCTATCTCATATATTAATATTTCTAACTTGTTCTACTTCAGTCAAGATTTTGAATCCCCATTATACCAACTTAATCGAGAGAACTATTTTATTTCCTCATATTTCAGCTATTGTTATGCTGGCTAAACCGTATCACTGTTAGTGACTTGCATCGTAATGGGGGATAATAAACATCTTATTAAACATGCTTAGACCTGTTTATCTTATTCCATTGAAAAGAAACAAGATATTTTATCTGTTGCTATATTTCCGCTTATGACGGCTAGTTCAGGTTATTTCCGTCCACTGCAGTTTCGCTGTGTGCAGCTGAATCATTTCTGTTGCTTTTTTTTTGTTCCCATCTGACTCCTTCCCCTGTTCCTGTTGAATGTATGGGGAACACAATGCACAAACTTCCTTCCCACCTGGGCACTGGGGCAGGAGGAACAATGATCAGCTCATCCACCGCACAGTAAAAGGCATCTGCTGTCGCGCCAGTGAGCCGCACTTACTCTACAGGCGCTAAACTGCCCCCACAGACGATCAAAAGCAAATTCTAACGAAGGAGATTTGAAAAAGCCACCTTAACACAGCTTTTCTAAACATCAGAGATTTCATGTCTCTTAACATGAAATACACGTGGGCTGCATCTCATATATTTAATTTATTTATATATGTGATTCTAAACATATGCATATTTTCATTAATTTTATTCTTATTAAATATGCCAAGATATAACGTTAACGTCAATACTGCCAGCGATATTGTGAATTAACTGCGTTGAATCCAATAACAAAGTAGTCTAGCTGCTTTTGCAGCATGAACGCATGCAGTCAGAATTAAACATATCTGATCGAGTCATATGTTTATCATCCTAATGATCATTAACAGTATAATTTCAATAATCTATAGAAAAAGGAAACTAAACAGTTACACTGCTAGGATTTCACATCACATAGCAGACACGTACATAACCCACACAACAAAGCAAACGCACTTTGCAGACTTCTCTCCCCATAACTTCACATTCACAGCGTGTCACAGCCTGCTCCGGATTCCCCCACCAGCTTTTCCTGTGACAGCACTGAACCGCGTAAATTAATAATAAAAATGCCAATCGGGAGCAGCTAGCAGGAAAAGGGAAGAATAACCTGTTGATTTTGAGGGCAAAGGCTCTCCTGTCGTTCGCTGGTAAGGTGGCCATCCCTCTCCCTCAGCCGCAGCCACGGTTCGCACAGGGAGTGACAGTGACTCCAGCGTAGATCCAGCGGCGCCAAAGCTTTCTGGGTGGAAACTTCCGCGTTTTCAGAAATGACAGCCTGCGGGTTGCTGTCAAACCGCATAAACCTGCCCATGTGACCGGTCAGTACTATTAAGGTCCAATAATCTTGCTTTACGAGTTAACATCTTCGGATGCCGAATTATATGTTAACATTGAATTAAAAATGTCTTTAAAGTCAATGTTTAACTCCTACTCGCAGCTATATTGTTATACCTGTATTTCAAACCAAAGACAAACACGAGAACCAAGTTTATTTATCTTTTATCCATCTCTACATATAATTTCATTTCTCTTCGAAATTGTCATTTAGAATCAATTATAATTTAAATGAATTTCTGGACTGGACGTATTTGTTTTCTATTTATTTGTGTGCATGTGCTATAGGTAAACTCCATGTTGCAAAACGTGTTTTTCTGGAAAAAATACTAATACGTTAAGAACTCAGTGCTATTTTTAGGCCTATACTTAAAAAAATTAGATGTATCTGCTCTGTTTCCCTCCCATAGTCCAAGGTCATACAGTTACGTAAACTGGCATCTTTAAATTGCAAAAGCTGAGTAATTCTGGCATCCCATCCTGGGTGCAGCCCTGCATTGTGCCTTGTTCATCCTGGGCTCCGGGATCCCCTACCACATCGTCCAGGATAGGCTTTTGGATGAATGGATGGATGGATGTTAAAATAATGTGTTTGTTATTTGTGTTTACTAAAGGCCAAGGTAGAGGTGATGGAGGCACAATGACCATTGACTATATTAGGGAGAAGCTGACTAATGAGACGGAGAACGCCATGCAAGGTGTCTCTGCGGCCAGGGTTTGAAACCGCTGCTGCCAGCCTGAAGGGAAATAAGACAGGGATTCACACAATTCAAATATATATGGTGGCACTGAAGTGCAAACATAATTAATTAAAATGCAATTATTATTATTATTATTATTAGTGCTTACTTTCCTTTATCATTATTATTATTAGAGATTGTTAAGTTAATTTAAAATAAATAAAAGATAGAAAAGAAAAAAAATTAATCATTCAATCTGATTTATGTTTTCTGTTCTTTTAAAATGTTTTGCTTTATCTTAATGTGGAGGTGTTCTGCACTTCAGAACCACCGTAGATATATTCCACTGCGAGCACAAGCCGCCCGGTTTGGTATATAAAAAAGGGTTTTACTAGTAAAATTTACATTAAAGTACACTTACTACAGAGTGTGGAGAAAATCATTAGCGTAATAATGCTCCCAATAGGAGCATGCACGGTAAAACACAGGTTACATGAAAAATGTTGCTATTGATATAACTACATTTAAATGCATTTTGCACCAAAATGAACATAAATAAATGAACTGCAGGTTAAATGAATGACGTTAAAGCACATATTCGTCTCTACATTAGGAATCTGACTTTATCCAATAAGGTATGAATTAGCAATGCGCCTTGGTACTGCCGGTTAGCAATCAGAAAACAGCCGTAAAAGCTCGAAAGCTAGTTGGACCAACGCGCTCATCTCATGCAGCCCTTGCCTGCTGATTTATAATGTTAATATTATTACCTTCAGCCAAAGGACTTGCTGCAGTTTTCCATGAAATCCATTTCCTCGGTCGGGCGCCGATGTGTGCAGGTACCTGGATTCAACACCGATGCGTCTCTTAAAGCCACAGTGACTAAATGTCGCAGGAGAAACCTAGTGACATAAAGCAATACGCAGGGCAAAAATTTTAATACCAAAGTATTTTTTACCAAAGTATGATGTGTAGATACTACGGCTACTATTAATACTACTACTGCTACTACCACCACCACCACTACTACTACTACTACTACTACTACTAATAATAATAATAATAAAAAACTTACCTAAAATACACTTTTAGTTCAACCGAAATTTTAATAAGTGTGTTTGGACATGAATAGTATAGTTGGTGATATAGACAAACTATGGTCTGTGCATGACTGAATTCTAAGGTTAAAACGCAACACCATTATTATTATTATTATTATTATTATTATTATTATTATTATTATTATTATATTGTTGTTGTTATTGTTCTTACCTCGGGCTTCCTTTCCTTTGTTGTTAGTAGCAAGATTTTGTTTGGTAGTCTCTATCGCCCTCTGGTGGCTATATCAACTAGTCTGAGCGAGAAATTGGAAACTCCAGTGTTGCAAAAACACTTGTCGTCCAGAAAACCACAATGTAATTCTGTGATGGTCTGTGGACGGTGTACCTGAACATATTTGTTATCCGATTGTTAAAACTTATCTACGGAAGTCTGTAGAGGACATGCATAAACTTTTTTTTTTCTTTTCGTTATCTCGAGATCACGACATATGATCAAAGTAAAATCTGATGCATTCGTCCATGAGGATAATACTAAACCTCGAGATCATGGGAAAGTGACATGGGTTATGTCGAGATCACAAGAAAAAAATAAGCCGTGATCTCGAGAAAACGACTTTGGTTATGTCGAGATCACGAGAAAAATAATCTCGAGATAACGAAAAGAAAAAAAAAAGTTTATGCATGTCCTCTACTGACTTCCGTACTACAGACTTCCGTACATTCTCAAATGAAAATGGTGCTTCTTATAACCACACATGTAAACCTGCACACCTTTATGTCAGTTTCTCACAACAAGATGTCATTTCTCATTGTTTTACTTCATTCATTCACAAATAATTTAGTTTTGGTTCTTATAGGATTAGGTATACTCACTTTGAATTAGTCCAAAATCAGTTGTATGACTGTACTTTTCATTTTGGTGGCACTTCATTGATGGAATTATACAATAGTTGTAATTTGGCATAATTTTTAGTTGCTTTAATTGGTCAAAATGGATTGTGTAGTTCCCCAATGTAATAATTTTTACACTCAAAGCTACATATGTATGTGATCATTGTGTTAGCCACCACATGCAAAACAGTTAACCAAGCTTTCAAAATGATTAAAAAATATATTCCATAAATTGCAGCAATATGGCATTTTTGCATTTTGGTTTCCCACAGTATATGATTTTATTGCCATTTAGTTGTTCTTGTATTGCCATTTTGTTTTTCTCGATTGCATTGGCACATGTCGTGAAACATACTTAACAGGGCATAAGCAGAGTATTTGTGGTTTGGTGCACAAGCAAATTCAGCTAGCTAAAGAGAAATGATAGTGAAGTACATTGATCAATTTTAATTCTTAAAATACTGAAATATATGTTTTGACTGGTATGTTTCTAGGCAGCGATTCAGAGGTGTCACATTTTGGAGCCTTTGACCGAATGGCTGACAAGGGAATTGCATTTTGAAACATGAATGAAAAGTCTTGAATGAATTACAGTATACAAACTGTTTTGAGAAATGACTGTTTAGAGAAATTCTCATACAGCGCTGCAGGAAGAAGGCCTAAAGCATCCTTCGAGATCATCACCACTCAACTCGTCCCCTGGTCAGATGCAGGGAATCTGGACACAACTTGAGTCAACCGGCTAGTGAGTATCACTACACACAAGGCATGGGTCCTCATTCCTCAACAGCTTTTCCCAGCCATGGTCAGACTGTGTACCCTTATAGTGCCATCATGAATGAGCATTGAACTGGGATCATGGTGCACCAATCTGGGCTTCCAGGAAAAGATTCTGGTTAACGTCACTCGATGAACCATTACGGGAAACGCATGGTGTTTTAAAAGTGAACAGGGTTACCCCTGGCTGAACACCGAAACAGATTTGCAAAGTAACGGCCTTATTTGCTGCTAAGAAAACAAGTAGGAGACATTAAAAACAAATATATATCCCCCTTGGATGAAATGGTAACCATGCATCTGGGAGACCGTGCAAAGTACAAATGACCCCTCCGAACCTTAGATCTCAAAATGCTCAGCAAAAATATTTGCAGCATCAGACTGAAGCAATAGCTGGTCACAGCTTGGAAGACGAACCTGCTCAGAAAGCCATTTCTGTTTGTCACAATTACATAATTATGTTTAATCATGTTTAATTGCACAATTATACAAAGACTTGAAAATTTGTCATAATGGCAAATGTAATAATCTAATAAATATTCATTTTCTAGGCAAGTTATTTTTTCTAAATACGTTATGTATGATTTGTTATTTAATAATAAGGCCTGGATAGACCATAAGGGGCCAGGCTTCCTTACCTCCTTTGGTCACCGTATTCTCTCTCCACTTTGAAGGAACACTTCAAAACCCATCAGTTCCAGAAATTCCTCTAATAGCATACACCACTCCATGTTCCCTGAATGATCTTAAGGTGATGCTTTGCGTGCTGATTAAAATAGTTGTCTTATTAGGTTCTTGCTTCGTTTGGAAGATGCTTTTGCTTCAGACCTGCTTACACTTGTACCTGGGCATTCATTAGAAGCTTAGCCTAGCCGCATTTATGCTACTAATAACTCCTTGATGGCTGTATGTTTTTTATGTGTTATTTGCCTCACTTGTATATCAATCTCTACAAACACATCTACTAAGTAAAGTGAGTAAAGCAGTCAGAACAGGAGGAAATGAGGAACCCTGACAGATGGTAGACGGATACAGTTTTTAAGACCGTATCGAAGCTCTTCAAGAAGAGAAGTATGAACTGTGGCTGATCGAGCTAATAAAATCCATGTCTGTTTCCTTCCTTTGTTTTTGTGATCTTATGTTCTAGAATTCAAGCTTATAATAAAAATTAGAGAGTGGTTTGGGAGAATGCACACATCTGCTGGACTTTTTCCATTCTGTCAGCAGCCCGGTGTGACTAATCGAGGACGTCGTAACAAAAGGCATTGGTTTTGAATACATTTTGACATGAAAGCGCTGAGCAGGAGATTCCCCCCCACAACAAATTAGTTAATTACACATATGAGAGATCTAATCTTTAGGAGTCTTGTGATCACAGCCCTTATTTCTCTTCATATTATAAGCATCTGTAACATAACTGTGGCCCTGTATTACGCTCAGTGGCTGCTCTATGAGGTCCCCTTGGCGGTGAGGTGATTATGAAAGATGGAGGGAGAGATTTAGCCCCTTGGCAACCTCAGAAGCTTCAAATGCCCTTACAAAATAATGTCATTAAAAATGAGCAGTGACACAGAACATCTAGCTGTGCATCGTAAACTAAAGGCATGAACAGTTAAATGTGTTAAGTCTTGGACTTTGGTCTGTGTGTGCAGCGGTTACTACGCCCACAGGACACCAGACAATTTATTTAAACTGACAGAGCATGTGGAAACTCTTATTCGCGGGGCCTGCATTTCCGTGAGGTTCCACAAACATGGAAATGCCATCAGAAAAAAAGTTACCAGCTGGCCTCAGTTTTCTGCCTGGCAATTTTAAATCACAGATCACAGAATATTTTTCTGCATGAGAATCCTAGTGCCTTTACCCCAGATGAGCCAAACTGCCAATCTGTGCCAAAAAGGGAAGCAATAAACTATAAAATAACATAACAACAGTAACACATTTAAAGAACAGAGCATTTAATTTGAGCATAAATCCTTAAACCTGAACTTACTCACTGTTGCTTGGCAGAAAAAAATATTACTTAAGACTTAGAAAAAAAATGTTTTTTTTTTTTGTGCTGGGGGGTGATCAGTGCTCAGGTATGGTGCAGTAATTTCCTGTAGTAAGTGAACATTTAAAAGATGACAGCTATTACATGTTGCAACAAAACCTGCCATTTGCATGCTCTCCTAAAGTTTTCTGTTCACCATGGCTTCTTCCCACAGTCCAAAAGCATGTGGTTAGTCAAACTGATGTCCCTAGATTGCCAAAAGTGAGTGACCGTGTGCCCTGTGATGGACTGGCACCTAGTCCATGGTGTCCCCTGCCACATGTCCCTGGGAAAGGCTCCATGCTCACACAACCCTGTCCCGGCAAATGAATGGATGGATGATCTTCACTTAGCCCTTGAATTTTAAAGGCAGATAAAACTAACTGTGTATGAAATGGTAGATGCATCACTTGTTTCGGTAAATTGCTTTAGCCATTTTGTTGCAGAAATAACTTGAATGAACAATGTCCAGAGAGGGTCGTTCAGTCTCCGACATCGATTGGGACGTCACTTTGGACGAATGAATCTGCTAAATAAAAAAATAAATGTCAAAAATAATAATAAGAAAATGTAAAGGTGTTTTGGAACTTCTACAGGTGTCAAGATGTCATCACCCAGAGGTTGGGTTAAAATGGGGGCCCAGATCCCAAAATGGAATCAGCTGTTTTTCACTTAAGAATATAAATCAGTGGTTCCCAACCTTTTTTAACTCACGGCCCACACAGCCAAACACATATGTTTCCGCGGCCCACTGCAAAAGAATTTAAACGATCCCGCTTTTTGTGTCGGGTTAACTAAGTACTCGGAAGCAAGGCTGTTAATTGTCTTTATTGAATAAACTGGTAATTTATTTCATTATATATCAAATTATGATTTATTTGATTTTGACTAGACATTTTTTATTATATTAACAATATTACAATTTCTATTAATAATAATTGGCGGCCCCCCTGCAATACCGTCGGCCCACAGGTTGAAAACCACTGATATAAATAATTGATCAAAATCGGTGCAATTATTCTTGTATAAGCAGCTAGGCTCCATGCCTGGTCCCAAAGTGGTACTCTGTGAAACATGTCCATTTGTGAAGTATTCTCCTCTGTCCTGATTCTAAGGAAGTCTTGCATTCAAAGATCTGCTG